GACACAGGAAGGATTATATACCAGGTAACTATAAGATGACCTAGATGTAGTTTAAGTCCTCATTTAATGATCATGTTGGGAGATTAACAACTTGGTCATTAAATGAAGCGGTTGCTAAGTGAAACCACCTTGCTTATTATCTTACTTCAGCTTTCGTTTGCTTTAAAGACCTGCGAAGGTCGGAAAAACGAGGATTGTGCCTGAAGTTACTTTTTCATCCCTGTATTGCTGCGTAAGGTTGCCAAACGAGGCATTCGGCAAACGGCGCCTGCCTGGATCGGGGCTGCCATCAATTTGATTCCTTTGGGGCGTTTTTTTTTTTTTTTTTTAGAGGGAGGTGGTTTGGAGTCCGTGTTGAGTTGCTTCAGTGGGCTGAAGGTAGAAAGTGAGGCATTACTTTGTCTCACCTACAAATCCTAAGAAGGTTGTGCCGTGTTGGCCTTCCTTGCAAATCAAAGCTGCTGGGAGTCTTGCAAAACAATTAAAATTGGTTTCATTTATATTTATCTGCCATTCAGCAGAGATGATATGAACCATCTTACCTCTTTAATACAGGTAGTTTTCCACTTACTGCCTTAATTGAGCCCAAAATTTCTTTTGGTAAGCAAGACAGTTCGTAAATGAGTTTTGCCCCTTTTTACAACCTTTCTTGCCATGGTTGTTAAGTGAATCTGCCTTCCTTCCCCATGAACTTTTTTGTTAGAAGGTTCACATGACACACACACCTCTCGGGGTGGTCATAAATCTGAGTCAGTTGTGCCAAGCGTCAGAATTTGGATCAAACCCTGACCCTGGGGATGCTGCCAGGGTGGCAAGTTTGAAAAATGGTCATGTCATTTTTTTCAGTGCTGTTATAACTTTGCTGTAAGTCAAGGACTACCTGTAGTTTCTCCCCCCTCTTAGTCCACAGCAACCACTTGGGAGAGTGTTAGTGGTACGGTTAGGTATCCATGCAAAATTACCATTTTTCCTGCTCCTTGCATGTAATTCCTCCTTTTTGGGGGGGCTCCCTCTTTTTCCAGGGTTGAGGATTCTTACTCGGCACCTTCAGAGCTAAGCACCCAACATGACTTCTTCGAAGAAGTCGGAGAAGACTACTTAAGCTCCTTCGAGAAGAAACCCCAGGGGAATTTCGAGCGGTGCGTCAGTCCCGCAGAAAGGGCACCCCAAGAACGAATCTTTCAGCCCCCCGAGTGCGGCTCTGACCTTTCCGACCCTTGTGATCGTAGCCTGTTGAATTCTCCTTTGGAGCCCGGTTCCATTCCGGATGAAAAGAAGAAGTCCGAGTACAACGGTTGGGACATCAGCCATTTTTCAAAACCCTTGGAAGAGGAACCTTCCACGAAAGAAGAGGTCTTCCAGGAGGACTCCTTGTTTGGCTCCGAGATGTGGAAAAAGGAAGGATCCAGTAGCAAGCAAGCCAACCCTGGAACTGGATGGACGACTCCCGAGAACCGAAATGGCAGCGGTCAACCGCCACAGCAGCAAGAGCCGACGAGCAGAACCCGCCGATCCGGTCCGATTAAGAAGCCAGTCCTGAAAGCTCTGAAAGTGGAGGAGAAGGAAAAAGAACTAGAGAAGGTGAAGGTCGATGGAGAAGAGACGTCCCATCCCTCTAAAGAAAAGGGTCCCCCGCCGAAGGCGTCTGAGGAGATCAATCCCGGAGGGGTTGTCCACTCCACTCGCTACCGCTCGTTGGACGAGAGATGCTCCCCGCAAACCCCCATCCCGGAGAACGAGAGACGTCACGAAGACAACGATAAGGACAGCAAAGAAAAGGAGACGGTCACCAAGGACTTGGAGGGCAAGAATCCGTCAAGGGAGTTCGCTGAGCTGCCTCCGACCAAAAGAAACAACTGGATCTTCATTGATGAGGAACAGGCCTTTGGCGGACGAGGGCAAGGACGAGGCCGTGGACGCGGCTTCCGAGAATTCACCTTCCGAGGCCGGAGCAACACGGTGGGGTGTGGCGGCGCGGCTGTTGCTAGTAGTGGCGGCGGGAATCTCCGAGGCGGTTACAACAGCAGCAGCAGCAGCAATGTCGGGGGTCCCCCGAGAAGCAGCCGAGGGCGAGCCTTGAGAGACTTCAATCAGGGGGAAGAGTTCCCGCGGGGAAAGCCCAGGCGCCGGATCGCGAGCGAGACCCACAGTGAAGGCTCCGAGTACGAGGAGCTGCCGAAGCGTCGTCGTCAAAGGGCCTCTGAGAATAATAACGAAGGTTCCCTGGTGGAAAGGGAAGAGGATGACCTCAAGAAAGGGGATTTCCACGATTCCTGGAGATCCAATAAGATCTATTCAGATGATCAGGACGCCAAGTTGAGGGCCCCACGAGCTTTCGGGCGATCCTTACCCCCACGGTTGAGCAACTCGACTTATGGGCGACGAGGATTCGTTTCTAAGGAGTCTTCCCAATGGCAGAGTCGAAGTGGTGGAAACACTTGGCAAGAACACAGCCACAACGCCCCTCTGGAGGCCTTTGCCATCCGCCGCCCATCAGAAAGGGATTACGGCCAAGAGTCTTACAAGGCTTCGGACTCGTTTAGCCGACGGGCGTTTGAAGAGGACTACGGAGGTGACCCCGAAAACGTGGAGAACCGGCCGTTCCGTCGACGCCGCCCCCCTCGTCAAGACAAACCGCCCCGATTCAGGCGTTTGAGGCAGGAACGTGAGCCTGTGAGTCAGTGGACCCCTGAAGAGGGTGGGGCCGACCTGGCGGCTTGCCAGTGGCCGCGTAGAGCCAAATTGGTCACGACAGATTATAACGGTCCCTCAAACAGAAGGTCTCCAGAACTCTCCTATCAGAATACCTCGGATCACGCCAACGAAGAGTGGGAGACGGCCTCGGAAAGCAGCGACTTCAGCGAGAGGCGGGAGAGGAGGGGCGGTGGTGGCGGGAACACGGAGAACGAGGCGCTGTTGGATGGTGGGGCACCCGGGAGCACCTTGGGGGAGAAGAGAGACCTGGCCAAGAGGAGCTTCTCCAGTCAGAGGCCTGTGGTAGATCGGCAGAGCCGGAAATCCGATCCCGTAGGATTTGGGGAGAAAGCTGTCCGAGCTGGTGGGAACCGACCAGCGTCCTACTACGAAAACCAGCAGAATGTGCTGCAATTGAGGAGCAAAAGGTAATAATCTTCCCCCTTCTTAAGAAAAGAGAGACAGTATTTGGATACAGAATGACACACACACCCCTCCCCTAGTCCAGCTAAATCTTGAGATCGTGCGGACTTCAACTCCCAGAATTCCCTGCCCAGCGTGGTCTGTTGGGGGAATTCTAGGAGTTGAAGTCCACACATATCAGAGTTATTAAGGTGGAGAAACACTGATTCCTCCTTAAGAAAAGAGAGACAATATTTGGAAACAGAGAGGACCTCGTAATACTCATATACCACTTCATGGTGGTTTTACAGCCCTCTCTAAGTGGTTTACAGAGTCAGCCTAATTGCCCCTATCAATAATCTGGGCCCTCGTTCTACCCACCTCGGAAGGACAAAGGGCCGAGTCAACCTTGAGCCTGGTGAGATTTAAACTGCCAGACTTCAGGCAACCGGCAGCCAGCAGAAGTAGCCTGCAGTACTGCAATCTAACCACTGTGCCCCCCGTGGCTCATAGTCCAACCTTTGAGATTGTGTGGACTTCAACTCCCAGAATTCTGTAGCCGGCATAGTCTTAAAAAATTGAGAAGCACTCCCCCGATCTGCCAATTGGCAGTTGTCACGACTTACAACCCTTACTGGCCAGGCTCCATGACAGTCATAACTTGAGGACTCCCTGTATTACTTTGTAGTTCTGAACTTTTAAGAAAAAAACCCCTTCAGCCACTTTGGCCTAGGCAATATGTCTGGCCTATTTCTGCCAGGACCCTCTTCCCCGTGTCCTGCAGGAAGTCCGCCTGTGAAATCACATTTGGCACTGAGTCAGAAAGCCCCGTTTCCCTTGCAGATCTCCAGATGAAAACGGCATTCCTGATAACGGCAGTCCTGGGCGAAACCGTTCCACTTACGGCTCTCATTCCAACCTGAATGGTGTCGAAAGCCTGGAGAAAAGGCAAGAGAAGGAGCTGAAGCCCGTGGTCAGCGAGATGAGCGAGAACGTCAGTCCCTTCGAGCTCAGCTACAGAGGTAAGTCCGCTCAAGGGCGCCAGAGGAAAGCCAGGAATAAACTTCAAATTTGCAATGTTTTGTTAGTCCATTGCTAATATTATTACAATATTTCCCTTACTGTTTGGTTGATTTGTATCCTGCCGTTATTATTTAAATAAACAAGGTGGCGAACGTACCCAGCACACCTTCCTCCTCCTGTTTTGGCTTCCATGCTAAGTCAGGACTAGAACTCACATCCTCCTGCTTTCTCAGTGCCTTAAGTCACTAGATCAAACCGTCTCCTCAAGGCCTTAAATATTCACTTTCCAGCGAGAACTTTCAAACTTGAGTTAAAAACTAAGCTCTTGCCCAAATGCTTGTGTGCCCTTGCGCAGGTGGTGTGATGGACAGCCGTGGGGCAGGGCCCGGGGCAGGGGCAGAAGTGGGGCCGATGAACAGCGAAGGGTTCATTGAGGTGCTCACGAAGAAACAGCGACGGCTGCTGGAAGAGGAACGGAGGAAGAAAGAGCAAGCCGCACAGGTGAGAGAAACGAGAAACACGGGTGGTCCTTGATTTAAAACCCTTCCTTTAGTGCAGGGGTCGGCAGCCTTAAACACTCAAAAGAGCCACAAGGGTCGGAAGCCCCCCGTTCAATTCTGAAGCCGACCGGAAATCCGGTCCCCCCACCATAGGGACTCCTCCTAGCGCGGCATCCGTTTTCCTCTGCCTTGTCCTAACCAAAAGTCCTGCCAATTGCGCAGCCGACTGGCGACAGGGAGCTGCAGCAGAGGGACTCCAGAGCCATGGGTTGCCGACCACTGGTTTAGCGACTGTTCAAAGTCACAACCGCACGGGTTGTGCAACTCGCTTGGAGAGCCTGCCAGATAACCAGTTTCCAACCGCAGGGCAAGGCAACGCTTGGCCCAGAGCCTCTTCTAGTCACAAACAGAACTTCCCACTCTTGAAATGACTGAAGGAAAACAAATTGTTTCCTGCAAACTCCGCTTTGGCTCCTCTTTTATTCCCTCTGGGAGGGGGCCTTCATACTCCCAAGTCCCCCCCTCTTCCTTAGCTCTTCCCTTCGTCTGGCCGCTCTGCGCATGCGCACACACTGGGAACAGGCTCCAGCTGTTCCTCTGCCTCACTGCTCTCTGGCTCTTCTCGGCCTCTGACGCAGAGCCCTCGTCTGAGCCTTACCCAGCCTCCAGGACTGGCCCAGGTTCCTCCCCACGGTCCAACTCTGCGGCCAGCTTTGCTGGCCACCCGCGGGCCACAACAAAAAGGGAATTTCATCAAGAGCCAGTATTTTTGGGTACAGTTAAGGGTACAGGGTTTGGGGAGCCCTCCAGGCCCCTGGAACCCTCCATCCCAAAGAGCGTGAGATGAAGACAGAAGGAGATCATCCCCTAAATCAGCCTCTGCAGATTTAGGGAAAGGTTCCTCCGA